GAAGGGGCGTTGCAACGGATATGGATAGGCAGAAGATTAGGGCACGGGAAGACATAAATTGCAGAAGCGAAGCAGAACAAGATCACAAATATTAAGAGGTAATGGATCAGTACCGGTCCAACGGAAAGCCTGAACTGGTTCAAAAGCTGCGTTTGGTCTTCGAGTGCTATAATGTCGTGGGCGAGACCCGCGGCGAAGAACTGTCCCTCGTCAGTCCCCTGAGGTTGGGGGAGCTTCAGCATCAATTGTTGAAGCTTTCGATTCCTCGTAGTATGGAGTGAGATCTATGACATTGAATGTTCTTGACATTTTTGTGTCTCCTGGCAGATCAATTTTGTATGCGTTATCATTTAATTTTTTTAGAATGCAGAAATGTCCATCGGCTTTGGGCTTGAGGTTGTTGTAAGCTTCTACGGGAAATTGTTCTTTCTTAAGTCGTATCCACATGAGGTCACCTTAATGAAATGTCATTTTTTTCCTGGACTTGTTTGCTTGTGATTGATATTTATGGTTTTGCTTAGAAATTGTTTTCCCGACGTCCTCGTGGAGTTGCTGACTTTGTACTTTGGGAGACACGTTTTGTAGCATCTTCACTAATCTCTGTGGGGTAGAAGTGGGACCAACTCGATGGGCATGATCGGGTTGCGACCGTACGCAATTTCGATCGTCATGTGTCTTATGGTCTGGCTTGTTGATTTGTTGTAGGAAAATTTTGATTGAGCGATAATGAGATCTCATTGTTTGATTTTTCTCAACGAAGCATTGAAGCAGATTCCCAAAGCTTCTATTAAAGACTTCGGTCTGCTCATCCGTCTGAGGATGTGCTGCATAACTAAATTGGAGTTTAGTGTCTAATTTGCTCAAGAGTTTTTGCCATAAGTGGCTTAGAAATTTAATATCCCAATTGAAGTAATGGCCCTGGGCATAAATCGACAATATGATATGCATCTAACGTCCGACGACAAGCGATGAAATGTGCTATCTTGGAGAACCGGTCAACTACGATCGTGATAGTCTTTATTCCTTTGTGTGTGTGGTAGTTCGATGGCAAAGTCCATGCTGAAATCAGTCTAAAGTGCTTTAGGTACTAGTAAAGGTGCGTATAATCTTATATTTTGGCTGCGTGTTTTGGCGATGCAACAAATCTTGTATTGTCGAACGCATCACTCTACATCTCGTGTTAGCCGGTGCCAAATGAAATGTTTTTTTCACGAGTGCGAGAGTTTTATCTCTGTCAAAGTGGCTTGTCAATCCGCTAATGTGGTTCTCCTGGATGATAGCTTCACGTAGAGAGCATTGGAGAATATGCACAATTTGTGGTGGCGGAACAAGCAACCGTTCGTTTTGTAGAACTGACTGTGAGGTTTCTCCCAACACTGTTCCCAGATTTCCTGGAATTTTTCATCGTTCTCGTATAAGTCTTTAATAACTTCAAAATCTACCTCGTGTGTCTACAAGGATGTGATCAGGAGGTGACGACGACTTAGAGCATTTGCGATGTGGTTTTGATTTCCGACTTTGTGTTTGAGTACGAACTCGAAGGATGCTAAGAAATCTACCCAGGACGCCCTTTGAGTTTATTTTGACTATTTAAGAATTTTAGAACTTTATGATCCGTGAAGAGGGTGAACTTCGTTGTGAGTAGGTAATGACTCCAGTGCTTTGATGCTCTAACAAGATATAAAATTTTGTCGTATGTGGAATATTTTTGCCGAGTCTCATTTAGTTTTTAGCTGAAGTAGACTATAGGGTGACCGCCTTGACTTAGCACAACGCAATGCCTATGTCCGAAGCATGACCCTCAACTTTGAAAGGTTAGCTGAAATCAGGCAAGGCAAGAACTGGGGCTTGAGTGACCATCCATGTGAATTTTTTTTTGTTTCAACAGCTCGGTTAGGTGGGCGGTGATAGTACTGAAGCTGCGAACAAATCTTCGGTAGAAGGAAGCTAGCACAAAAAATTATCAAAGTTTGGTAAAAGATTGAGGTTAGGAGGAAGAAGGGGCGCTGCTACAACTATGGAAAGGTGGAAGATTAGGGCACGAGAAGGCATAGATTGTGGAAGCGGGGTAGAGCGGGATCGCGAATATTAAGAGGTAATGGACCGGTCCCGGCTCAACGGGAAGGTTGTACCGGTTCAAAAGCTACGTCAGGTCGACGATCGTGATAATGCTGTGGGCGAGACTTGCGGGGGAACGGCCCTGCGTCATCTTTTCGTTATCTTGTCTTCAATATGTGGTAACACCATTGCCTTTCTCATATGCTCCATCCGACATTTTGCAACACTCAACTTAATTGTTAGGGACTTCTTGTGGCCCGAACATAACTAGATAGCATAATTAACATATTTATAATTTTGTTAAATCTATTTTAGGTCTTCATTATATCTCTTTTCTCGTGGTAATCATGTTTCCATTTTAAACGCACAATTTTAAGTTATTCCTTCATCTATTTTAAGTCATTCCTTCATCTATTTTAAGTCATTCCTTCATCTATTTTAAGTCATTCCTTCATCTATTTTAAGTCATTCCTTCATCTATTTTAAGTCATTCCTTCATCTATATACATAATCTGTGTAATATTCAATGTGCATAAACTTAGGGATTGTTTGGGATCACTGTTTTAGTAATAAATGAATAATTAAGTCTCTTTTTGAAAAAAAATGTTTTCTGATTCTATTCTATTACCATTCTTTTGAAGGATGATTTTGTTTTGTAGTAACCACATCTTATTTAAGACATACAGTTTGACCACTATCAAAGTTTAAAATACTTTAGTGTTTTTTTTTTTGGACAAAGTCATAAATTTAAGTGGAAGGGTATATTTGTACATTTTAGACAAATTCTTTCTTCTTAAGCTATCATGGTTCGCTTGCCCAGATTTTCTAATGAAAAATTCGGGCTCTTGAGGGGAATGTCCCTTGGAGTTGACGTGTAAAAATAATATGTTGGCTCAAGTTATTACACTTTTTTTATCAAGATAACTGTTTTCATGTCATGCTGTTTATTTTAAGATTTGAAGTTCTTTATTTGAAATTCAATGGATTTCTTATATTCCTGAATGTAAATATTTTTCTGTACTTGCATATAAAAAAAAAACACGTTTGTTACGATTATCTGTTTTAGAAGTAAGAAACACAAAATATCTTATTAACAACTGTTCTGTAAGTAGCTATGTTATGGAGATATGTGAACGAGTTAATTAGAACACTGCTTTTGCCACAAATTAAAATTTTTTTCTGATACTTATAGTTTTTCTTCAATTAGTTAATTGTTATATTTCCTTTATAGAAATTCAAGATAAAAATGTGATACCGTCTTATCTTGGTGCTTCAAGTCCTTCGTTATTTGCAGAAAATAGCATAACTTCTGCTATGTTAAATTTATGAGTGAAAGAGTAACAATTTTATTCATTGAGTACTATTTGTATTTGGAGGCAGTTTCGGTTAGAAACTCAAAGTCATATTCTGTTTCTGAAGAATATCATCCCCGTAATTCTGAGACTAAAAGTAATATGTTATATGATCTGCATACTTTTTCACAAAGGGATTTGGAGTTTATTGTCAAATTCTCAGGCGAGTATGGGCCAGATATATTTCGCCAAATAGTTCAATCTTTTTGTCCATCCATTTATGGGCATGAATTTGTAAAAGGTAACAAAATGTTTGTTTGATAAGCGTCACATTTTAGTTGCTAGAGGAGCTTTCTTTCAGTAGTACTTTTTCACACTTAATGGTGGCTACATTGTTTCCTTTCACATTGCATGCTGAGTATTGTGATTTTATATTTTTGAAAAAAAGAGACATTACTTAAATACTACACAATTCTTATTTATTTACATATCTAACATCTAAACTTTCATATTTACATACATACACTCTGATCTTTAATATCAAATAAATTTACCTTCTAAAAGTGAAGCACACCTTTTCATGCATAGTTTCATGACACCAAAGTGTTATAAATGTAAATTTCAAACTGTAGGTGTTGGATTTGTTAATACAAAGGAATTGTTTGGTAATGGTATGGCATTATGTAACTTTCCCCAAAAAAAAATTGAGTGTATATTTTTGGAGATCTTTACAAAACCTATTTATGCATATTAATCATCTCTCAAGCTTCCTCTGATTTATTGATTAGTTAATGATAGGGATAAGAGATCATCATTATTTGCTTTATCTAGATTTTAATAGTGAGAGCTATAAATCCTTCTTTGTTATTCATTCTAGTTAAAGTATTTTTAAAGCCACTTTTTCATTTTCACATGAATAAAGGAATAATTATATTTTTTGAAAGGTTGGAGTCCCATGCATTGAACGTAAGGCAATTAAATATAGACTTAAGGGTATGTTTTGTTCAATGTTATTTGTATAATATTTTTTTATCTAAATGGAAATGCTATCTGAATTGCAATGTTATGTTTCCACTGTAATGCGTTTGGTTTAATGAAATTTTACTTGAAGGATGTAATTCTATTTAGAATTGTTGATAGTGATTCAAACCTTTTTCTTTTTTTTTCTTTTCTTTTAAACCATCAAGATTTACGTAATCTTGATAACATTAAATTTGGCTGCTATTTAGTTTATCTCAACCTTGACTACTAATTTTATTCAGATTATCTATGTATGAGAAATAACATCAAATGCCTCTTATTATAAATAACATAGCATTATGTCAAAGAAAACTTTGAACCAAAATTTCCTTAGATTTTTTGGACATATACAACTAAGGTTAGAAACTGCATCCATTAGATGGTTAGATAAAGTTATTGTTGAAGATAGACACGTGGTAACATGGATGGAAATTGTTCAATTTGATTTATGAATAATTTGTTTAATGCCCCAAATGTCACTTAGCATGAATATTTTGAAAATGTGAATTCATAAAACCAACCACAAATTATATGGATAATGATTTATATAGCTGACATCAAATAGTTGGGATAAGGCTAAAGGAGGGGAAAATCCAAAAGGGATATATTGACAGTTGGTATGTGGCCAATTTAATTTGAAAATGCTCCACTTTAGCCCCCCACTACTAGAAATTCGTCCCAATTTGTCCGTCATAAGTTGAGATCAATGTTATATAACTGAGACACTAGATATGGATCATTTTTAATAACTTGGGGAATAAATTGGAACACTCTAAATCTCTGAGATTAAATTGGCCACATTAGAATAGTCGGTGGACCATTTTGGGATTTAATTCGGCTAAATGAATTATTACTTGACATGAGTGTTGGAAGTAAACAATCAAAAAATCAAAATAGAGATTTTTAAAAGAAATAATTGCTTTAACAACTTGTTCTATTTACTAATGACTTGAATTTATATAAAGCCTTACAATATTCTTACAAATAAACCCTCAAACTTTTTCTTTATTTCCTATTTACGAATAAAACCCTAAACTAGATATAAATCTCAACACACCCCCTCAAGATGGGCAAAAAAATATTCACTAAGCCTATCTTGTTACTCAACCTAGATAAATCTAATGAGCTAAGTCTTTCGGTGAGGTAGTCAACCACTTATTCTCCAGTGGCTACATGAGTTGGCTTCAATAATCATTATTCGACATTTCCTTGATAAAGAACCTATAAATGTCCACATGTTTGGTTCTATTGTTATGCACGAGATTGTTGAAAATGTTGATTGCTGACTTGTCGCACCACAACTTCATTTGAGTTTCTTCGTCCACCTTGAGCTCTACCAACAAGGCTCTCAACCACATCATCTCGACAACTCCTAAGGCCATGGCCCTGCACTCTGCCTCTATTGTTGACCTCGCTACCACTGACTATTTCTTGCCCTTCTATGAAACCAAGTTGCCCCCTATGAACATGCAGTATCCTGATGTGGACCTAATATCATCCACACAACTTGCCAGATTCACAAAATCCCTCAATGCCTACATGCTCATTCTTCCTAAATATCAACCCTTTCTCTGGAGCACTCTTCAGGTACCTCAGAACCTAATATATTGCATCCAAATGACCCTTCTGTGGATCATGCATGTAGCGGCTCATCACACTCACTGCAAATGAGATGTCGGGACAAGTATGACTCAGATAGATCAGACAACCCACCAATCTTTGGTACCTCTCACGATCAACTGACTCTCATGTGTTTGCGCTCAGCTCGACCTTCTGATCAATTTGAAAGACTGCAGGTTTGCATCCCAACATGTTTGTTTCTGTGAAGAGATCAATGACATACTATCTTGTCTGTGGGCCACCTCAATCATAAGGAAGTATTTGAGCTGTCAAAGGTCATTCACCTAAAATTCTTTACCCAATCTTACCTTTAGTTGAACAATCTCTGTCTCATTATCCCCAAAGTTAATCATGTTATCAACAAACACTAGTGGAACAAGTATAGTGGTGTGACCTCCGTTTTGACGGAAAAAAATACCGTATGATCGACATTGATATGTTGATATCCCATGCCCACCATAGTATTTTTATATTTATCAAACCAGACTCCAAGAGACTGCTTCAAGCCATAAAGTAATTTCTGGAGCCTGCACACTCACTTGTACTAAAACCCGCTATTATCTCTATATGCACCTGCTCTTGAAGAAACACATTCTTCACATCGAGTTTGTGTAATCTCCACTCATCATTCACTGCCATAGAAATCAGTGTCCTCATTGTGCTCATCTTTGTTACTGGTGCAAAGGTCTTGTCATAGTCAATGCATATGTTTGATTGTACCATTTTGCCACCAATTGCGTCTTATAACACTCAACTTTTCATTCTGAATTTTGATTTATTATGAAGATCCACTTGCATCTAACTGTTTTTTTCTCATTCATGCATGACCGTTTTTCACATGGGATCCTCCTTAGCTATCTGTCAATAATTGGGTATAGAGACTGTTTAAAGATGCAATTAAAGCTCAATGTACAAGTGATATGTTAATGTATGAAATAAAATGAGCAATGCCATCTTCCCACCCAAAACGATTAGGAGGATGTCCCACATTGCTGCGAGAGGTCCTCCTTAAATTCATGGGTTTGGAAGTAGAAAGAATAGGAATATATTACCTATGTATTCTGAGTTTGAGGTGAATGGAGTAGGTTTCTCAAGAGGCAGAGTAGATTGAGACAAGGGACTCGTTGGCATGAATGGCACTGCAGACACTATTCTCTCATTCTGCTTCCTCTTCTTTGTATACACCTTCAGCTCCCTTTCAGCCTGAATCCCACCACCTTCATGCTCTATGTCCTCATTTTCCGGCTCCTTAGCCGATTCATCCCATATCATAGGACAAGACATCGCTTTCGCATGAACCAATCTCTCACCATCATTGCTCAACCCCTCTTGCCTTATACCTCCAAAATCTGGCGAGTCACGAAAGGGTGAGGTCACCTCGAAGGTGTAGTACAACTCAAATTTTCTAAAAGATACATCCATTCTCACAAACAGTCTCTTATCCATCGAGTTCCAACGAACATACTCATTCTGGTAGCAGAATAATCTACGAAAAGACATTTTACAACTCTCGGATTTAGATTCTCTACTGATGATTTGTTGTCCTTCACAAAATATACACAACTAAATACCTTCAATTGGATGATCTCACAATTATCTCCTTTCAATTTCTGACAAGGAGACCTCCAATCAAACACCCTCGAGGGCATTCTGTTGATTAATTGACCAGTTGTCAAAACTAATTCCCCTTGCAAGTGCTCTGGAATATTCATCATGCTTTGGACTACCTCTTAAAGGTGTTCATTCTTATTCCTCCTCCCTGCTACTCTGTTTTGTGTCATTGTGTTTGCACTTGTGGTTTGATGTTTTCCTTGAGCTGACAAGTATTTTCCAAACGTCTTGTTGCTATACTCTGTCTCATTATCAGACTTCAATACTTTCACTATTACACCATATTGAGTCTGGATTGTCTTGTGGATCTTTAAAACTTGCAAACACATCACCTTTATTTTTAATCCGATTAAACCAAGTAATACGAGAAAAATAATCAATGAAAGTCATAAAATATTTATAACCATTCATTGAACTGGTGGAAGAGAATCCCAAATAACCAATTGTATCAAATCAAAACACAAGAATTTGTATTCTCATAACTGATATAAGAGTTCATAGTAAGCTTGCAAAACTCACAAGATCACATATAAGTTTTTATTTATTTGTCTTTTCATAAAAAGGGATATAAACGACTCAGTAAACTAAAACAAGAGTGTCTCATGCATCTGTGATGTAGTAGTAACACATTCTCTACACTCCTCCCATATCCCCTTACTCCAGCACTCTCTACGTGAATGTCAAAACTGAGTCCATCCCCTCTATATCCAAATACTAAGGTTCATTATGCCATGTTCCAGTCCCAATTGTCTGAGCCGTCCATTTCTTTTGAAAGATCACCTTAGAAATATCAAATAAAACAATATATTTTAGTTGGAGAATAATAACATTAATGGATAAAAATTTCACTTGAAATGATGCATAGAAAACATTGGACAAAGTCATATAATCGGTACACCTCATTGTACCCTTACCAACTATAGACTGTGTTGTATCATCAATAGTCTGGATGCTCTCTGGAACTTTTTGATAAGTATAGGAAGAAAACTTTCTAGCAATATTTATCACACGTTGAGATGCACCATAATCTACTATTCATTTTGATGATCTTATGGTATAAATAATGACAAGAACATGTGTATCACGAGTGTCTTTGTCATAGTGATTATAAGTGTCAATGTTACCACTTGATGACAACAATGTGAAAACATCCTTAGCCCTATCACATGTTGCTTTCTGCTTTCTCTTCAACATATCTAGAAACTTTTGATTCTCATCGGTAAATATTATACTTGTTTCTCGCTCGTCCTCTACTACCATCAAATTTATCCGGTAGCCCTCTCTTTCACCTCTTCGAGCACACCACGACCACGACCACGACCACCAATTTGTCCATGACCACATATCTCTCTCTTTAGGTGACCTAGGACAGACATTTCTCTAATGGCCTATTTCACCGTAGCTGCAGCACTTGCGAGTCTCCCTCTGGACACCTGTCATACCCAAGCTTGAGGCAACCAATGTTGATTGCTTACCTAGAAGTCCAGTCAGCTCAGAGTGTAGCCTCATGCGACTCTCCTTCTGTATCATCATAGTGATGACTTCATCCAGTGAAGGGATCATCGCCCAGCCTAGGAGGACCGATCTCGTCCGTTTAAAGGTTGGGTTCAGATGAATCAGAAACTGCATAGTTCTCATATGTGCAAAGATTTTCCTCTTCTTGTACCCGGATCACCACAGTTCAACATCAGCGAGAAGTGATCAAGATCTGCACACAATCACTCCATATTTATAGAGTACTTTTGAATCGATCTTTCACCATGCTCCACTGCCTTTATCTCACGCTAAATCTGGAACACCCTCATGTGGTTCTCATCCCTAGCATAGATCCTTTTTAGCTTCACCCAGATGTTCATCACCTTTCTAATGCCATCTACAGATGACGCAATTGATGGAACCGTTAAGTTGAGTAGTTATGTGTAAAGCAAGGCTTGTGTGGTCTTCTACTCACGCCCTCAACACTGTCACTCTTTGGCTCGACTTCCCTTAGATATGTCTTTAGTCTCTTCCCTTCTAGAGCAGCCCCAATTCAAGGCGACCAACTCAGATATGGGGCTGTTCCATCAAATTTCATATTCACGGGAGGGAGCTCTAGTTTCACTTGCATCGGAGCACGTGCTGTGGTAGTGGCTCCCGTCGAAATGCTAGCTTCCTGTGTGAGGCCGACAAATATCTTTAAAACTTAAGGATCATCTTTCTGAGAAGCTTCAATCCTTTACCTCTCACATTATCTTATTCTTCCAACCTCCTCGAACACAAAATCTAAGTCTAATTCACACACAAATTTGATCCTTCGCATCTATAAGCTATTTTGGTTGTGGTATGCTGTTATCCCACCTTTAGCGTCCCAGTTTGCTCTAAATGCAGTTGCCTCACGAGGACTAACCAGAGGGAAGAGAAAAGTGGGAGTTTTGGTCTTTGTACACCGATCTTGACCGTCCCAATTAACTCTAGTCGCCGCTGCTTTGTGGGTTAACCGCCTTCATCTTGCCCCGTCACAGGATCATGTTGCTTCACCTGGGCGATCTAAGTGTAGAGTGGGTCGAATCCCTTCGATCCTTCTCATTATAGAAGCTTCCCCTCTTAAACATTGCATGCGCCGCCACAAACACCATCTTCTCTACCCGCTCCACTGTGACCGTGACCGGTGATTGCTTACCTAGTCGGAGCAGCGGCGCACTGCACCGAGCACGGTATGCCGTGCAATGAAGGGAAATAAGCCTCACTGCGATTTTTCCCAACGACCGGAGCTCAATGAGGCACGTCTCCCTCACCAAATGGCTATGGTTTAGCTCTGATACCAAAAAGAAGTAATTATTTAGAAAAACTTTGTTCATTTCATTAATGACGTGGGCTTATAAGGAACCTTACAGTGTTCCAAATATCACTATTAGCACCATCCTTCTGCCTCTCCAATTTTGGGGAAAACAGGGAAATTCTTCCCGACTTTCAGGATAGCTTCAAAATGAACTCAACAAAAACCTCTTCTCTTAATATAATTCTTGGGTATTTATACACAAACTACCTATTAACACCTGGTGTCTTCACTTATTAAAATACCTCTCATAAGGAAAGGAAAAAATATTAATATGTGAATTTTATTCATAGAAGTACCCTCACCTTCCGCTAATTATGTCATTAATTCATCTAATCAAAACTAGATCTATTCAAGATGTTATTTTTTTATTCTTTCATATACAGCTGGGATCACACTTGCGTTATTTGGAGGGGTGCAGAAGTACTCAATGGATGAGAACAAGGTCCCGGTTCGAGGGGATATCCATGTCATTATTGTTGGTACCCATGATTTACTTTGTTGCTAAAGTTTATATGATTTTACCATTTTTCATCATGAATAATTTATAATTAGAATTTCAACCTGAATAATGTTTTGGCAGGCGATCCTGGACTGGGCAAGAGCCAACTTCTACAAGCCGCTGCCACAGTTTCTCCACGAGGCATATATGTTTGTGGAAATGCCACAACAAATGCCGGTTTAACTGTTGCCATTGTCAAGGATCATATGACAAGTGATTATGCCTTTGAGGCAGGTATAAAGTCTGTTAGAATTTTCTTTTGTTCAACCATACAGCTTGTTAATTTTGAAGTTCCATTTTGTCATATTTGTATTATTGCAGCACTACATTATAAAAGGCCTCCAAAACTATTTTCCTTTGCAAATAGATTTACGTAAAATCGTAACTGCACCTTTATGACCATAACCAAACTTTCTTGTGGCCATGAAAGTTACAAGAATATAAAGCTTTAGGAAAGGAAAATGATCTAAAGGTCAAAAGGTTATTTCATGTGGTTATTTGACTCCTAGATTTTATAAAGTTGTCAATTTAGTCCTTCGTATGAGCTTATTTCTTATTTGAAGAGTCATCTTTGTAATCCTATTTCAATTCAACAATAATATTTATATTTATTGTGGTTTGGGTCTCCGGTATCAATTTGTTACTTCCTCTTCTCTTTCGACAAACAATGTTCATAGTTAACTTTCTTTTTTTTGTGCTTCAATGCAATTAGAAACAACATAGATCTAAGTACTTTGCTTTAAAAATTTGTTGATTGACAAGTTTAGTATGCTAGGAATATAATTTCAAAGATAGATTGTAGCAAGAAATAATTATATTGAGAGGATAGTAAGATTGAGATTAACCTCAACGTATATGATCTTCGCAAATAGAAAATGTTTGCATTACCACAGTCGTATTAAATTTTTAATTTTGAAACTTGTGTTTGGAATTGTGATTGTAGCCAATTAGTTGGGTCAACTTGAGTCTCTTTTTGACTGCTTATAATGTTATCATCCTATTCATAAGGTTGTTGTTATCCTATCCTTATGTTGGTTATTGTTCCCTGAATATGTTGGAGGTTATTTTTTATTTGAAGGTTTGTGGATAGCTTCACAAAAAAATTAACAATTATGCCTCAATGGTTGGAAGAAAATCAATCACAAGATTTTGTTTAGTATTTTTTTTTTAAGTTGAGCATAATTGGTCCAATTCTCAAAGTCTCCGGTCATCATTAATACAGATTCTTTATATGTTGATAATTTTGAAAATTTAATTATCTTTTTAATTTTTTTATTAAGGCATTTACATGCATAGTATTCAATTCTTATGTATTTACATATCTCACGCCTCAACTTTCATATTTACATACATTATACTCAACCTTATTAGCAGATAAAAAATAACACTTATCCACTCTTTAAAAGTTAAGTACCATACTTTTAAGCAACAAAGTGTTATGTATAAAAATATGAAACTTTACGCGTGAGACACATACATACATAAGAATGGTGAGCTACATATAAATTTCCCTTATTTTATCAACAGGTGCGATGGTTCTCGCTGACGGTGGTTTATGCTGTATTGATGAATTTGATAAAATGTCTGCAGAGTATCAGGTAACTGTTGTTGACTTCTGTTTGTTGATCAAAATGTGTTTTACCTGAATCAATTAGGTTTTATATGAACTTTTAATAGGCTCTTCTAGAAGCCATGGAACAACAGTGTGTCTCCATTGCAAAGGCTGGATTAGTAGCAAGTCTTTCTGCACGTGCTTCCGTTCTGGCCGCAGCGAATCCTGTTGGTGGTCATTATAAGTCAGTCCCTTTGGTCCTCTGTTCCTATTGGAGTAAATTGTCAAAATAGTCCCCTGATTGTTTATATGAAGGCAATTTTAGTCTCAGATTTTATAATAGTGTCAAATTAGTCCCCATAGTTTTTAAACATAGGCTAAAATAGTCATCAATGGAGACTATTTTAGCCTATATTAAAAGAATCTGAGACTTTTGGACTAAAAAGTCTGGGGATTATTTTAACATTTTTCTCATTCTTATTGATTGTTTGCACATATGAATTTCTCTTCGTATATAACTCTGCGCATCTTCTTCAGCTCTTGTACACTTTAATAATGCATCTATGAAGAAAAGTAATATAATATAGGGCATGTACATACCTACCACCCAATTCCTAGCATTGACATATCTAATTCCTAAACTTAACTTTTCTACATCTATAGCACTCAAATTTTTTATTTCACATAAAAAATATCACCATCTTTCTCTCAAAAGGCAAAATACATCTTTTCTTACATAGGTAAAACGGCATGTATGTAAAAATTGAGGTTTAGGTGTTAGACATGTAAATACATAGGAATTAGGTGCTATGTACGTAAATGCATAGTTAAAGTTGGACACTAATTGAAGGGCAGGAGTGCACATCAAAAAGTGGGATGTTAGTGTAATGACTGGTTGCAATTTAAATCACAATTGAAATGACTAAGGCTGAAAGTCAAGGGGTGTATATACAAAACCTTCTTGTGCTTGGTTTTTATGTTTTCCATTACATGCATTTGTAGGTTGCAGATATTACTAAGAATTACTGTGCTGTAGGATGCTCATTTTTAAGCATCCAAATCATGAGGGGTGTATTTTATTTATTTATCTTTAAAGCTTGATTTTCAGGGTAGAGGCCTTAAGTTAACCTATTTGTTTTCTTTAGAAAACTTGTTGTGTGGAGTTGAAGAGCCTAAAGCAGATCTTACACCTGATTTATAATTAGTATAATTGTCTGGTATAGATTTCTTTCATTTCATATTTAAGGAGTGTATTTTTTTGTTGGAATGCTTATGTGTGAAACATATTCTAAGATGATGACTATGAATGAGCAAGACAACTTCAATTTCATTCCACTACCTTGATGCTGTCGTGTGGTGTGGGTTTGAGGGTCATGTAAATAAGTCTAAATTTTTGAACTTTGAGAAGTGGGCTTAGAATGGCATAAAGAAAGCAAAAAGCTTGTTAAAAAAGAATAGAGGGGCATGTTATCCTAAAATTAATTGGCAATTCTTTATTGTCATGTCATTTTACATGCTAGTTTAGTGTGAAGAAAGATATTGCTCATTCTAACTTTGCTAAGGGATTGTTTGGTTTGCTGTGAAAGGAATGAAGTGTAAATATAATGTATTGTATTTAGAATATTTTAGAGTTGTTTATTTTAGTATAAAACAAACACAGTATTTTATATTTATTCTTTGGTTTGAAGAAAATGAATCATTGTGAAATACACTTGTCAGTGGTAGTGGTGGCCAAAAATAAAGGAAGTGGTTGGCTTTGACAAATTTTCAGCTGCGTTGGGTGGGTGGGTTAGCTTTGTAGCTACTGGAGATGGCAACGGACAAATTTTCAGCTGCGTTGGGTGGGTAGTAGTGGCATCGACTGGCATTGCAGCGGTGGCTGGAGACAGAGATTTGCAAATAGCTGGCTTGGGTGGTGGGGTTTGTGGTAGGCGGCATATAACACTCTACACAAAACAATACATTTGACATTTGCTTAAATCCAACAAATTTCAAATACGTTGATATTGAACTAGAGAGTAAATTTCAATTGCATTGTAATTTTACATTGTTTTTGTCTTTCTTCTGACCAAACATATAATTTTTTAGCACTCGTGCAAAAATATTGCAGTGTCCTCCTTTAGTTGGCGACCAAATAGCCCTTAAATGACATCTCAAATCTATATCATAAGCATGTAGGAAATTTTGTGTAACGTAGAATTTTGATGGTTGGCTGTTAAGTACCATGATAAATTTATAAGAAAAAAATCTAACAGAAACCTTTTTTTGAAAGCAAAGAAGCTTGTCCTAGCTAGCTCTATCTATAATTAAAACATGTAAATGTATGAGTTGATAAATTATTACTCTAGATACTTAGTTCTTATTGGATTGTTGCTTGACGATAACATAAATATAAAACAAGTTTTGAATTTGACAACACCACCACTTATGTATGCCAGATTGCCAGTTAAATGCATAGGGCTGCAAATAGGTTGAGTGTTCTATGAATTACTCGTGCTTTGGTTCAATTAAAGCTTGTTCATGATCGTTTGATTAACTAATCAAACATACTTGAATGATTTTATAATTATTCGGTTGTTAAATAAACAAGCTTGGTTCATTTATGATCATAAACAAGATCATTTAAAACTCAGTAAGAGTCTTTATTAAGTACTATTTAAGCTCAACAAGATTTAATCTTGAGAAGGCATTCACGGGAGAAGCAGTGTGTGAATAGGCTCTTCTTAACAAAATAAGGATTGTTTTCTAAGTTTTCTCAATTAAGACCTCGTTTGCTAAGCCTAAACAACTTAGCTTGATAATGCTCGTTTTTTCAAATGAGCTATTCGTTTAAATTTTATTAATCAGAATATTGAACAAGCTTTAGGTAATTGTGCTTGAGCTTGAATACAAGTAGAATATCTCATATTGAGCTTGAGCCAAGTTTTAAGCTTGTAGTAAACGAGGCCTGACTCAGCTCGATTCATTTGCGGCCCTAAATGTGCAAATTCACAAACTGCACCTGGCGTAGGTTGATTATCTTAAATTATGAAGTAATGGAATTTTTAATTAATAGTTTGTGTTTATTAATAATAGTTTATTTTGCTTCTATTATTTTATTAATTTAGAATAATTTTTTTTGTTGAATCCCATATATTTTTGGTGAACATGACTTGAGAGTTAGAGTCGAGTGAATGAGAGAATAAAGTGAATCAAGAGTTACTGTGGAGAGAACCGGGGGAGAGTCCCTTGATTCGTATTTTTGTCTCATATTTATATAGACGTATTTTGTACAATTACAAAAAGGAGGGAATAGTTGTGAAAGCTCTTAATATGATTAATGTTGTAATAAACTGAATGGATTTCATTTCATATCTATATTACAATTTGAATTTTGATATGACGGTAATTGGTTGATCGATTTGCTAAAATGTTGTTGACCGAGGCGATCAATTGGGTGGCGACCATGCCTTATGTTTAGTCGACCGATTTGTGTTGTCGAATGAAGATCTCGTCCGGCGCTGCAAAAGCGGCTCGGCCGTCCAATCGCGATCAGGGTTTCTGGTTGCGCTTCGGTCGGTTGGTTGGTTGACTGATGAGTCGATTTATTTTGTCTGGTGAATTGTGGCTCACTTGTCGCTTTGACTCAAGTTATTAAGCCTATTCTCGTCTACTTTGTCGGCTCGTCGCCTTAGTTGGATACCCCTATTTGCAAGGACTTAGGCGAGTCTTGTCGCTACCTGTGTGAGGTATTCGATGAGATTTGTTGCTATAATGAATTACAGCTCGCCCTTGACGGATCTTGTTGCTACGGGTTAGGGACCATCTCCAGAGCTTTGACCTGTCGTGGGTTTAAAGGCACGGCTTCATCTGTTTGGTGATGACTTGTCGGTCGACTGCTTACCCTTTTGGGGGAAGTTTTTAATTTTTGTCCATTCATTCTCTTTAATACCCTTTTGGGGGAAGTTATTTATTTTTGTCCATTCATTCTCTTTAAAATTCGTGTCGGTAACTCTAGTGTATACAATTTTTTGTTTTTCTTTCATTTTCATTATAAAATTTGCATGTCATTCTATGTGAGGATTGCTTTTTTATTTGTTAGATGTTTGCTATGCTCTTTTTCTTCAGAACGTAATTGAATGCTGTTCTACTCTCTCTTCCTTGAGCATAAGTTTGCACTCTTTAATGTAATCTATAAGGATCTAGCTGATTTTTTATTAAACCCATTGTATCTTTTTTTATTTTTTTTGGAGGTTACATACCTACACCAAAACTTTTCTTTTTTACATTTACACCACCTAAATCTTTCATATCACAACAAATATACCACTATTTTAGCATTTAATAGCTGAAATACCTCTTTTCATGCATAGGTAAGGTGGCATATACATAAAAATTGAAGTTTAAGTGTTAGATATGTAAATAGATAAGAATTGAATGGCATTTATTTAAATCTTTCATTTTTTTCCATTTTAACTCATTTTCTTGCCACAGCCGTGCAAAAACTGTGAATGAGAACCTGAAAATGAGTGCTGCTCTTCTGTCGAGATTTGACTTGGTATTTATTTTACTCGATAAGCCTGATGAAGTGCTTGATAAACGAGTTTCTGACCATATTATGGCTGTAAGTTTTATTACTTCGGCATAATCTTATCAAGACAGATATATTAGCATGTACATTACCATGCTATCCATGTACTATATATAAATAATAAATTTGTATGGGATTGGAAGCAGGTTTGCCACACCCTTTTTTCTCGGATCAAATCTTTAATGGCAATATACGTACATAGCTCCCAATTCTTATGTATTTACATATTTCACGCCTAAACTTTCATATATACGCACATTGCAGTCAAATCTATAATATCTGATAAAAATGACACAATTATCACTTTTTAAAAATAAAATACACCTTTTCATGCATAGGTTTAAAGCACCAAAGTACCGCGTTAGTAAATTTGAAAGTTTAACTGTGAGATAAGTAAATGCATAAGAATTGTGTGCTACACATGTAAATTTCCCAATCTTTAATCAGTGTTCTGTATTATAATTGGATGCCAATACCACACAAGTCGCTTGCTTCCACCTCAAAAACTTCCTTTTCCTGATATTGTGAAGTTTTAGACAAAAGGACTTTAATTTATCTCTATTGCATGATTGCCAATGATCCAAATTAAAAAATGCCAACTAATCCTACTATGGTTTTATCATTCTTTATCACTTTATAAGTCCTCAATATGTTCAAAGAAAAAAAAAATAAAATTTATAATGAATCTAGAGCTGATTTATGATGAAAATGGAGCAGTATGAACTTGGGGATATGATTCTTGGTAAGATTTTCCTTGACAATTCAGAAAAAAAAACTTGATAAGAAGGGCCATTTACAGTCATACCACCCAATTCTTTTGTTTTTATATATCTAATACCTAAACTTTACATTTTACATTTATAAAGCCCAAATCTTTCTTATCACATAAAAAATTCCACCACTTTTGCTTTTAAAAAATGAGAAACTTGTTTTCAAGCATAGGTATGGTGGCATTTTTGTATGAATTGAAGTTTATGTGTTAGATATGTAAATAAATAAGAATTGAGTGGTATGTATGTAAATATTTTCTCTAAGAAACCTAAGAAACAGGCGTAGTTGCATGGAATACTACGGAGCTTTGGAATATAGAAGTTTTCTCCTTGAAATTCAAGAGCATAGATTGTGTTAAGAGAAGAAATTAATTTCAAGGGATAAAAACAATGGTGTTTCTGTGGATATTGTTAGACTTGCGAATTATAGTGGCATTGTGTTTCCTAAGTGCATAGGCTCTTAATCAAAATTCCACGTCTTAATTATTATTGCAGCTTCCTCAGTTTTCTATATGCTAACTATCACATATTGGAACTCAATAGCCTTTTGTACTAATTGATACATTATCATATTTTTTCTTCATGCAGCTTCACACGGGAAATGGGGAACATTTGCTGCCCGCAAAGAAGCTAAGCAGAGGTTGCCTTTTTCCTTCAACTATTGCCAAACATGATTCAAGAACGTAATTTTAATACTATTTTGCGAAATTTAATTACATAGTACACCATTATGTACTTACTTATCTCACACGCAAATTTTCATATTTACACAGCACTTTTGTGATTTAAAAAAATATGTATTTCACTTTTAAAAAGTGGTAATAGTGTTATTTTTTATGTAATTTTAAATATTTGAGTGCTATGTGTGCAAATATAAAGTTTTAGGTGTGGGATGTAAATACATAAGAATTGTGTGCTACGTATGTAAATGCCCCTAATATCTTATGCACGAATTTTGAATCATTCAGTGTTGGGATCTTGTGGAGACATTGCATTTGGTGTAAGTGGATCCCTGATTTCACGTCTCAGACTCGATCTTGAGAAAGATAAGGATTTTGTTCCATTACCTGGTCCTCTTCTTCGCAAGTACATTGCTTATGCAAGGACATTCGTTTTTCCCAGGTGCTTGATTTATTAGGAGACTGTTTGGGATCATTTTTTTTGTATTTTTTCTAATTTTATTTTATTATATTTTATTTATGTTTATATTTGAACCAAATTATATTTGATATGTTTGATTAAGATATAAAATACTTAAAATATCTAAAAATTATTTTGAGTGTTTTCAAAAATATCTTAATTTATTTTTAAAAACAAAAAATTTAAACATGAGAAGAACACGCAATAAATATGTTTTTAAAAATAAAAGTAAAAAAAAAAAAAGTTTAAGGCCCCTTTTGGGATCACTTTTTTTTTCTATCTTTTGCTTTTATTTTATTTTGTTTTTTTTTTTATTTGATATTAAA